CTGTGAAGCACATTCACGACTGTGACACTGCTATGGCTTGCATAATAATAAGAAAAGGAGTATCTTTCTAAAGTTTCTTAAATATTTCCTATCTTAAATGTTCTTTAGTAATATAAAGATTGAGTAAAGTTTAAGGACTATTAAGAAGTAGCTAATATTAAGATATTATGTGGAAATTGATCTGAATCAACTCTTCTGTTGCCACTGTGCTGATTATCATGAAAATCTCCAGTTGTTTGCTGTGGAAGTATGCTTTAAACTGAGTTCAAGAAAATTCAGTTATAATGCAAAGTTGATTGAGAATGTCTCTCAGCAGGAATTAGGGCAGGAATGTTCTTTAAAGAAACCTTGACAAAGAATAAACTCTAGGTAATGTACTGGAATTACCAAGTACAGCCAGATCTAAAGAAGGGAATTAATTCAGCGCTAAGGATAGATAACCTTGTGCAGAAGACACAGCAGAAACCCAAAGTGTTTCTAGAGTCTTCACATTTAGTTCTGTGTTTCAAAAGATAAAATTTACCCTTTGGGAAGTTAAATAACATGTCTGTAATTCATAATTTAAATTACAATGTCACTATACCAAGTCATCTATAGGCTTATATTTGAAATAATAGGGATGTATTGTTCCTATTTGCAGTGCATGTTTACAGATTTTGAGTTTCAAAGCTCACTGAAATGTGTAAGTTTTCCAGTGACATTTAATCAGCTTTGGATTAGACAATAAGGCCTTCATTTTAGCTGCATAACACAACATGTCTGACATTTCTCCCTCATAGGGCTGTTCTATGTAAGAACATTCAAGAAGATTAATGCAATATAACTTTTTAGATGAATTAATTAGGCCATATTCAAGTATTGTATGGGCACTCATTTTGAATTAAAGTAGCCTTAGTGAAATTATCTTCAATTCAATTTCAAAATACATTAAACTAAATTAAATCAAGGTCACCCTACTTTTTACTAAGCGACCACTCAAGCAGTTTAACTAAGCTCTTCAAACTCACGTCTCTTGTTAATGCAAAGCATTCCTCCATTTCTCTAGTTAGACCAGCCTGTAGAGATTTAGCTTCTAAGCATTTTTTTTAAAAGTCACCTTCAAAATAGTGAAATGACTAACATCAAACTGTTGGAAGGCTTAGATATGCATCCCTACTCCTCTAATTCTAGCAAACCTTAAACATTGAGATAGTTATGGCTTGTCTAGGAAAGCTGTGTACCTACAGCATGAAGACTGTCCTACACGAACTCTCTCACAAGCAGCCCTAGCGTGCAGCCCACTCAGTTTTCATGCAGAACACTAATGCTGCGGAATGGCAACCACACTGTAAAATCTGATTGCATGAGAACATCCTGTGTAGACAAGGCTGCATTCAGATCTTGTAAAATAAATGAGCACAGATCTTACATGAAAAATTATAAAACCCTTCAATGTGCCGTTCCTGCTATTATTTTTCAGCCGATGGTAAGAATTCTTATATCTAGGAAATATAATATTAATATTAGTGATTTATTGCTGTATTCTGATGAGAAAAAAAATGATAACGCTCTAATATAAATTATTTCAAAGATGTTATTACTGGTTTTATTATTACTCTGGGAGACATAGCTGTTACTCTTAATGGTCCTTTTATTGATCTATATCTCCATTTTGAGAAAGGACAACATATCTTCTCTCCTCAACATTTTTGTTCAGCTTCACTGACCTAGTTGCATTCAAGTTGTCAACTTCAGAAGCTTGAGTCTATACAGCAGAAATTCTGGAAGAAGCTGCTGACAAAATACTTGAATCCATCATAAATCTGGGTTACATAGACTGTCTGGGTGACAGAGAGAGTGGAAAATATAGTATCTGGATTTCATTAGAATGATGAATACATCATCTATTTATTGACGAGAGCTGCCCATCCTGTAGGGATGAAGTGCTTGCCTTCTCTTTTGGATATTGTGAATTATCTCCTATGGTAGCTCAATACTTGTATTCCATGGAATATTCTTACATTCTACAGACTCATATGAATGTGCTTAGTGATCTTAAGTACAGCTTAAGAATAGCGAAATAAATCATATTTTTCTCCTAAGTCTTCAAAGGCTTCAAAGCCCCTAAAAAAGAGAAGTAAAAAAAAGTCTAATTCTCTATCAAAATAATGATCTGTGGAAAAAATCTTATACCTTGCTCTGCTGACAAGTTTATGTCACCTCGCCATGGAGGAAACTTCCCTGAAGGTCTCATAAATGGCTCTCACATCACATAGAACTTATTTTCTGCTTTTTCAGATTCAGAAATTCTCTCTGAATTGGAAAATATATTTCAAAGTGCAAGGCAATAAAGGAATTTTATGGTAACAACCAACCACCACATGCTAATACAGGCTTGTAATGTATTCGTCCACTGACGTTGCTGAGGTTTTCAAGTGGTGATGTCTATGTATGTGCCATCTTCTGCTAATAATATAATGAAATTATTTCTTTTTATGATGGAAAACATCTCTGGAACCAAATTGCTATCTATCACTGTGGAAGCAGAGACTAAATTTAGTTGAGAAATGCTTTTTTTCAGTCAAAGTGCTAGAGCCCTATGTTCATATAAAGGATGTTTCTACTCTGCTTTTGTAATAATTTGAAGTTTCTCAGAGGTACAATTTCTTTGACTAGCTAGTAAGTATAGAAGTTCTCATGTCCAAGAAAGCTTTAAACATCTAATAATTTAAGGAATAGATGCAGGAATTTTGTAAGCCTTTATTTACAACGCAAGATGCCAGAGAAGTCAGCATGACTAAATAGATTTCTATTACCTTGAAAACGATCATACATTTTTCTTATTTAACAAAGAAATATATATGAGATTATTATAAAATGTTATTATTTTTCACTTTTCATATTCTTCCACCACTACCACTCTTTATCGTTGCAACATTTGCACATCGCTGGGCTAAGGTTCAATAAAAATATCAACCTCTTCAACTATCTATGTGATAAATGCAGTATGCAGTGTTCCCTGATTCTCCAGCCACAAGGCTAATTACAAGGTAATTACAATAAACATAATCAACTTTTGATTAATTTAGATTTTTCCTATTCTGATATAAGTGCTGAAACAAATCTGGATATATATAGAAATATGTAGTTTTTCTATACAGAAGAAGGGCGTAGAAGATGTATATAGATAGTTATATCTACATACTGAAGATATATATATATAGGCTACGTATATCTAAGTGTATACACATGTGCATACACATCTACACATACAGAAGATGTATATAAGGGTGTAGGAGATAGTCTTCACCACAAAGGTGATTCAGTGCTCCCCTCAAATTTGACTTCAGAGTCTAAAAATCTGCTTTCATCTGCTTGTGAGTACAATTTTGTAAGATGGAGGAAAACATAATAGTTCCAAGATTTCCTGTTTTTTTGTATATGTAAGTTTCAATCTACATACAGATGTCAGTCAACATTCAGGACAGCAGAAAGGAGAGGAAAGAATTTTAATTCCTTGCAGCTCTACTAAATAAAATTTAGTGTATTCTGCATATATTATCATTGTTTATGCAAGGTAAGGGACTGCTTAAAATTCTGTGTAAATATGGAGCAATCTAAAATTAAAGATATATAGCTTTTTAAATTGCTTATTTTTCTTTATCTGATTGCTTTTTAATACCTGGGAAAAGTTGAAGGACTGAGATCAAAATCTAAGAATATGTGAATCTGCTCTATTCAGCTTTTGAAAGCTAAAAGAAGATTTACTATTTAAATTTATAGATTAGCTCAGAATGTTTAAATCCTTTTCTAGTTCTGTTTATCAGCAAAAAATATTAGTATTCAGTGCACTGTGCAAAATGCACAGCTTCATCTGCAAATAACACTGGAAATAAAATCAAGTTCCAACTCAAGTATATTTGACTTAGGGCTCGGTCTCAGCTTTTACATTTTCAAGTTGAGCAAATACCAAAGAGCAACATTCATAAAGAGAAATCGCTCTGATGTTCTTCTGGAAACCTTTAACCATTGTCTGCAAACTAACCTATTCTTTTTAGTGGACAGAGAATGGATTGAAAATACATAGCACATCTACTTGCAAAACCAGTTATGAAGAAATGTTTGCGCAGAGGTGTAAGGTATTCCATATAAAGCCACATGCTAACTTTTGGGTCCTTTATGTTAGTTTTCTTTTCTTTGATGTCTGATTGAACTGCATTTTGTCACGTAGTTACTTTTTAAAATGTTATTAAAATATTGATGTGTATATACATAGATACATAGACACATATAAACTACACGTATTACATATTTCTATAATCTATATAGGATTATAAGATATACTAATTATAGTAAAAAAGATAAACAAAACCATGTAAAGCAAAATAGTCTGGATGATTTGATGTAAAATTCTGTTCTCCATTGTTGAAGACAACAAAGCTGCATGAGGAAGACTCATATTAATATTTAGTTCATATTTTCTGTGTAAAGCAGTTACAACTCACAGGCAAGATTAAAGATTTAGATCTTTGTCTGGTATGAAATCAGTGCTGTTCCACTGAAGTCATAGGGATTAATTTATACCAGTCAAGAATCTGGAACAGATTTTTATTTACTTCATAAACTGGGAAAAAAATGGAGATAACTGATAACACAATGCAGGGAGATGTCCTCCTGAGATGTCCTACCTTTCTGTACCTTTTTTATTGCTGGATCAATATTTATTCATGTGAGAAAATGAATTGGACGTGCTTCTCTTTATTTGGTTTTGCTATGGAAAAGAATGCACTGACAAATACATGACAGGCCGCTTGGTTCATGAAGTAATTGGCTGAGTATATGTTTAAAAGTTTAGGAAGGTGATAAAACAGTACAATTTGAGCTCATCATTCTCCACAGGAACAATATTCATGGATTCGATTCACTTGACTTGCATCTCATCAAGTCCCCTTCACTTGAACAAGAGACATCTGCAAGTATGATCTCCCTTACAAAAGAAGATTAAAAAGAAAATCATTTACCTGATGTCAGGTTGTGATGTCGTGGAGCTTCTTTTACTGGTGAGACTCCTAAAGAATAGAAGAAAGATGATTAATTAATCTTCAGTTTCAAGCCAAAATATCTAAATTTCACTAAAAAAATGTTATGGTTGGAGCCAACTAACAGGTAAGAATCTGTATAAACCAGACAGTTATTTAAATGTGACTCGCATATTAAACTCTTTAAACATAGAAATTTTATATTGAGAAAAAAACATAGAAGAAAATCATTCTTCCGGATAAGAGTTTAGCAAATCTGCACCAGTACAATCAACTAGCTATTGTCCTTTAAGATTCTAGGAGATCAATATACAAAGTTGATATACAAAGGTTATATGCATACTTATATAACTACTTGTGTATACAACAAGTATTCAACATCCATAGCACCTAGGTACTTTTAAGGACTAACTTGTGCAGATCTGGCTCCAAACCTGCACTTCTGTGAAAAATGCATCTTTAACCGACGTAAAGATGACCTTTATCTCTTAGACTACTAACTTAATAAACTAGTGTAACTTATTACTACTAATCACCTTTATATATATAGCACCAACCATTTCTCTAGCTGCATATTACTGTA